CCTCGCTCCCAATGTGTGCCTTCATAGCTCAGTTGGTAGAGCATCGCACCGGTATCGCGGAGGTCACGGGTTCGAATCCCGTTGAAGCCCTGATTTTGATCATTCTTCACTTTCATCTACAACCGCAGTTCATAATGAATTATTTCATATAAACTTCACATCATCATTATTATTATTATTATTATTATTATTATGTAAGACTACACGAACATTTTTTATGATGTAGCTCAATAAAAGGACTTCTGTTGTTCCACTGTCTCAATGTTATGTTATAAAACAAATGGGAAACGCCATAGCGTGTACTATTGAGTTATGGATGCACTTGCGATAGCCTCATGCGACTCTTACGCTTCTTTCATGCTTAGCAACCTCCCACGTGCATTCATAACTCAATAGTGCACGCTATGGCATTTACCATTTGTTAATTATTAGATTAATAATTAAAATTAATTAAAATTGATTATTAAATTAACAATCAGCATTGTTATTGTTATTATTATTATTACTATTATTATTATTATTATTATTATTATTATTACTATTATTAACATATACTTATAACTCAACAATGTCCTCAGACCAGTTTGCAGTGAGTACATGTACTCACTAAAATCAATCATATAATCATTATAGTAAAGACCAAAAATACATGTACTAAAAGTAGTAGTGGTTAGTAATAAATTGTTATTGCTAATACATCATTGTCCAATGTTCACTGTGAAGACTGTGGTTTGTCTTTGTTTATGGTTTGAAATTAATTCAACAATTAACTAGTCAAGCCAAGGGAACATTTGCTATTTCCTAAAAATGTCCTTACCCGAAAGAGAAATTCTTGGTTCCAGACTGGATGCAAACTCTTTAGGAAAAGAAAATAATGTACATAAGATAAAAGTAAATTTAAGTAATTAATGTATATTTAATTAATATTCATTACACAGAAGTTTGTGAAGGTAGGAATAAAGCCCAATAACATTACCGTGTGCAATCTTTTCTCTTCAAAACAGGAATAACATTAACTAGAAAGCATAAAATATTTTTGCTTGTTTGCTATTGGTCTATTAACATGTCACATGACTGAATATTGGAATATCATATCTGACTGACTGATTGATATTAGAAGGATAACAAACACAACAGTCCCTGTTCAACTTTAAAAAAATGCCCAGACATTTGTCCATGGAAATTATCATTCTGTTTCTTGAAGCTCACAGTTTTCCTCAAGCTTTGTTCTTGGAAACTTGTTCACTTCCTGAAACAGATGTCCCTGGACAAATCTTCACGCATATTTTTGCGTCAAATGGGGGCTATTAATTATGAATTTTTCTCATTTACAATTCAAAACATTCAAATTCAGTCACCAATGAATCTTTTTATGACCAGCCTCTGTAAGCACATAATTCATGGAGGGCTTCTGATTGGTCACAGAGAAAAAGTCAAATTTCACAGGATTTTAAGAGACAAATTTGTGGAAAAAATGGCCGATTTAGCAGGAAATTCACAGAAATGTTTGGCCTAAATTTCGCTGACAAATGATTGGTAAAAAAGAGCTGATTTTGTGAGAATTTTTTGGGCAAATTTCGCTGGAAAGCGATTTCTTTTGCACTGATTTGATGAACCTTATTTACTAAAGAAAAGATGCCAATTTTGCCATTATTTTTATTTCGGAAACATATGAGTGTTAGCCTATGCAATAACAACAGCAACAGAAACACCGACTACTTATAAGTGTTGCCTTTGTAAAACCAGCTATTTTGCAGGGAAATTTGAGCAAGTCGTTTGGACTATCATACGTGTTTGTATTTGCTTGACCACAAGGTTCTTTTTAACAGAGATCACCATTTGTTCTTTAAACAATGCGCTGAAGAAATGCGCCAATGGCAAAGCTTTTTACATCATGGCCACAGTGAGGGCCCAGTTTTTTGCAACATTAATCTAAGAACACCTGGTAGTTTTTGGATGTTGTTTACTTGTTGCAGTGACAAAGTTTCACGCTAAATTTGCAAGTTTACGACAAGTCAACAGCCCCAACAGCCATGATAAGTTTCAAATGTGTTGTACCGACATGTATTTGGTACGATTTCCAGTGAATTTTGTGGTATTTCACATGTTTTTGTGGATTTCACGGGATTTTGCAGATTTCCTTGAAATTTGCGGCTCTGTAACCGCATGAAATATCAGAAGCCCTGTTCATGGTAGGCCACAATACAGTTACCCAACTATCCCAAAAAAAAATAATAAGCCAATGAACTAGAGTTAAGGAAAAGAATACAGAAATGCCTACGATACTTCTTTGTATAATTCATGTACGCCTCTAAACAAAAGATCTGAACTTGTAACGAAATGCAGGCATGAGAAGAAGTTCTATGCAGCTGATCAGAATCAGGATCGCTCCACATGCCCTCCACGAGTCAGGTTAAATTTTGTTCAACTGTTGCTATGGGCACAGTCTGATGATCGCTTTACATGTATGTGTGAAACTCGAGTAACTGTAGTTTCCATCTCAATTTGTAAGTCACAATATAAGATTTATTTTGATTTTGAGTAATCAAACCTCAACTTTTAGTGGCCCTACTCTGTGTTAAATCATCACATTTGATGACTGTGCATCTGTCAGTTTGTAGCCCTGGACTTAACCATTTGTGTACATGTACTTAAAATATGCATAACATTTTTGTGGTTATGTCAATTGTGGTTTCTACAAGAAAGGAGTCCACAGTACTGTAACTTATGAACAGACATCAGTAATTTTGTATCAACAGTTTGCGATAGTAGAAAACCTCACCTTTTTTATAGTTTCAGTACAAACAGCATCTATTTCTCCATATTCCCTGTCTCCCCTAAACAGTTTTATTTTACAGTAAGGATCACTAAACAAAAGATAACAAATCAAAACAAATAAGTCTTAAGATGAAAAAGTACAGAGATACTACAGTGCATATGAAAATTAAATATTATTTTAAGTGACATTCATAAAAATACTTGAATTAAAGTGAGTAATAAATTAATATTAATTTACTGTCATGAATAGAAACTGGAATTTATTGTCAATATGATGAACATTTAGTTATGAAAATAGTCTACAACAGTTTATGACAGATCATTTTGCCACTGAGGAAAGACTACCAGACTGAGTATAAACTATGCAGACTCATGTACTTATAATTACTAAAATTCACTTGAGGACAATATTAATCTTACCTACTAGTTACAATATCATAGGTGGAATGCTCACTTATGATTCCCCTTTTTTGCAAGTCTGTGATCTTGTGGTTTTGTGATTAATTTTGCAAGCTATAATTCAATTTTAGGCACAGAGGAAGTGGCATTCCACAGAAAAAATTTCCAGACTCAAAGGTCAACTACTTTAAAAAATAGTAATGTTTTTAAAATAGTTATAATTAACAATTAGATTATGAGCTTGAGATTTCTATGAGGTTATAGTTGATGAGGCCAACGACCTCCAGCCCCTGCATTCTAATGGCCAATAGTATACGAGTAGCTCAGCCAATCAGATTGCAGCATTTGCATTAGTATCCTAGTAGAATTCTACTAACTTCATTTAGAAGAAATCAAGGACAATCATTCCATATGTAGTATAATAGATTATAGAAAACTCTATTAACTTGATAAAGCTACTTTACTAACAGAATCAATTGAGCGTGAACATCCTTTAGTCGCTTGAGACATACAGTTGCAAATTAGTTAAATCACAAGTAATGTCTAATAACAGTACATATTGCAAAGTCTGGACCAGTCAGGAAACCAATCAAAATGCTTCTCTACATTGTTGACCAGTTTGCCATGTGATAACAATAAGTACAGTATGTCACTGAATGGCGTTATACAATACAGAAATGAAAATGTCAATGATAACAATATTGAGCGCATAATTCTTCCCATACATGTATATTTCTAGGTTCAAAAACTAAGAAGCCTTTTCGTTATTTTGTTCTCATATATAGAATTTATTTCAAGTGGTCAATTCAGTCAATTCACGCGAGCATTTGTAAGCTTATATGTAGATTAGGTCTTTAACACATACAATTGTAAATTTTATTTAATATTTGCTGTGACCATGCTCAACACAAACTCACGTTAAACTGTCTGGATTTTACGTTCAAACTTAGAGCTTATAACCGTTACATGGTGGGAAAGCGTAATACTTCTGCCAAAGTCAATCAGAGAATCCAATCCAATCAAATTTCCATTGAAGTGAGACGCGATACTAGCGTTGCAAAAATTCAAATAATTTGCCCGAACAAGCATACAGACAAATAACCGGATCGACGAAAATGTTAAGCTATGTCCTACCTCAGCCCAAAAATGTCCTTCTTGGCCAATTCAACACCTTCAAGAACGACTACCCGCACAATTTTTACTGATGGATTCTATAATAAACAAACAGACTGGCATTATGACAGTCCGGATTCAAGAAACAACACAGTTGACGAGCGACGAACGACAACAAACAACATCTGCAAAACGTTACTGTTCAATAACATACTCACTCGTGAAGGTTTTAGACCATGAACGACGTAATTGGTTCTCGGGGGCAAATCCATGGACTCTATAACCACGATAAATACAATACTACACTTCTGAGGTAATGGCGGCCATTTTATCCCTTCGTGTTCCAGAACCAGTCCTCACGCGGTATTTAGTGTCGAGCAGAGGAGAACCAATCAAGGCGGACACGATCGACGTTGCGTATTTACACATATCCTACGTGATTCTACGTTTTCTTTTACGGAATATTACGTAAGAATAATTAAGCTATAGTTGTAGATGACTTCACAGTTCTTTTCTGACACGGATGTAAATATTATGGTCGCCTTAGCGATGACGGAAAATGGCAGCATTGGCCGACTTAAGTTATAGTCAGTATGAAGGTAAGCTTAAGCTTTCATCGACGAACTGAATTTTTTTTTACCATCGTCTCTATTTATTTTCAACACTTCTGTTCGGAATTTTTACTTCTTACTTATGTTGTAGTTAAAGCTTACCGTCCCATCCCCTTCACCTACATGGATTAACGACTCAAAATATTAAAATCTTGTGAAGTGCCCAAAAATGAAGGGGAGGGAAGGGTGGGGGCCAGGTTAGAGGTGCTAGGGGGGG